AAGAGAGTTTTTCCTTTACTTGGAATGTTTTTTAGCATAAGGACACCAAGGCCCAAGAGCTTTGTGCTTCATTACAAGGTGCAGGGGTATTCAATCTCTTGACACTTCAATGTGATGTTATCATTTATGGATGTGTTAGGCCAAGTTCAGAGCTCTGCTGAGATGCCTGTGGCACATGGGCTACAGGCTAGACACACCTGCTGGGAGAAGCTGAAATACTAAGGTGTAGGTTTGCGGTCTCTTTGCTGGGAGCAGTGCAGACAGAATGTGGTTCTCAGCAGCGTGATCCCGTGGCAGCTCCATAGATATACAGGACAGGAGGTGGCAGAGATGCCGTTCCCTGGCTGCCTCTGGACTCAGGGTTACCTGAGAAGTGGAGTATCTGCCAGGTAATAGGGAGACTCCTGGTTTGCTCCTGAGTTCAAGATAGTCAAGTTCAGAGGAAGAGAGATGTGACTAACAGAGAGAGCGCTAATTAGCTATGTCTTAAAGCAATGGACAATATATCTTTGTGTGTCCATGTGTGTGTGTGTGTGTGCTTGTGTGCACATATGTGCGTAGGTATGTGTGGGGAAGCCAAAGGTCAGTATCTAATGCTGACCTTATCTTTATTGCTTTCCACCTTACATTTATTCTATTTCTATTTATGTGCTTGGTGTGCATGCCTGTGCACATGCGCTCAGGTTTCTATGGGGGCCAAAAGAAGGCATCAGATAGATATCCCGGAGCCAGAGTGACAGGTGGTTGTGAGGAGCCCAGTGTGGGTGCTGGGGACAAAAACCACAGTCTTCTGGAAAAGCAGCAAGCATCCCTAACATCTATGCCATCTCTCCAGCCCTCCACTCTAATTTCTGAGACAAGATACTTTCCTGAAGCTGGAGGTTTCTATGTAGCCTGGTTGGCTGCCAGTGAGCTTCAGGGAGACATCCCGTCTGCCTTCCAGTGCTGGGATTATGGGTGTGCAACACCACACCTGGCTTTGTAACGGATTCTGGGAATCCAAATCAAAGTCTTCACGCTTGAGACACCAACACTTCACCCACTAAACATCTCCTCAGCCCCAAACATCTTCATTTCTCTCATTCTGACCCTGCTTTGCCCTCTATGTAATATAATAAAATACTGAGATTTATAAACCCTGGACAAGAGTCACCCAGTTGTATCCTCAACAAGTGAGAGGACACTGAGAATTTTTTTTTAAATTTACCTTAGGAAAAGCAAAGGGGAAATGCATGTTTAATTCTCCTAGACTTTTGTTCAAAATGTATTTTTTTCCACCTTTACCGTTAGGGAAGAATTTCAATTAGTTTGATCTTCACTTTAGCAATGCATTTGTAATCTGTCTTCTTGTGTTGGCAAAGAAAATTTTGATGAAAAAAATTGGGCAGTAATGGAATCTTACCTGAGCAGAGCAAACCAGACTGTTGCACCAAGCAGAGGATGACGGGCACCAAGCAGCTGGAGACAGGGGAAGAGATGGGGTGGTGGAGCAAAGATCCGCCTTTCTCAGAAGTGCCTCTGTTCCAGCAGGTCCAGGGAGAGCGGGGAAAGCACTTAGTGCCAGGTGGGCTTGGCCGAGTTGTCTGGTGGGCATTAAATTCTCCACTCCTCAATTTTCTCATCTGTAACCTGGGGACAATAGTATCTACTGTTCATAATTATAAAGATAACAAGCAAAACAAAAACCATGAATCATGAGGCTGGAGAAATGGCTCAGCAGTTAAAAGAGATTGCTGCTTTTGCAGAGGACCGAAATTTGGTTCTCAGTGCCTACATCAACTGCCTCATAATCGCCTGTAATTCCAGATCCAGGGCACCCAGTGGCCTCTTCTGGCCTCCCAGGGCACCTGTTCTCATGTGCACACACACACACACACACACACACACACACACACACACACACACGGTAGATTTATTTTTAGCTTTTTGAGACTTCTCCACGCTGATTTCCATAGCGGCTGCACCAGATCTCAATTCCATCAGTAGCGAATGAGGGTTTCCCTTTCCCAGAATTCTTTCTAGCTTTTGTTTTCTTGATCTTAACCATTCTGATTGGGGTAAGGTGAAATTTCAAAAATAGTTTTAGGATGCTGAACTTTTAAGATATATTTATTTTTTATCCGTTCTTTCATTTTTTTGATAACTCTGTTCACCTACATAGCCCACTTTTTAATTCCGTCATTTGCTTTCTTGAGTCTTTGTTTCTTTGAGTTCTTTGTATATTGTGGAAAATAACCTTCTGTTGGATGTCTAGATGGCAAAGAAGCTCCCCCACTCTGGGGGCTTCCTCTTCACGTGACTGTTTTCTTTGTTGTACAGAAGCTGTCACATTTTATGAGTCCCCATTTGTCAGTTGTTGGCTTAATTCCTGAGCAAATGGAGTTATGGTCAGAAAGAATCCCTTCCTGGACCTATGTCTGTTTTCTTCTAGCAATTCAGTGTTTCGTTTTCACAGTGAGGTCTTTGATCCCCGTGGAGTTGATTTTTGTGTAAGGTGATAAGTACAGGTCTAGTTTCATTCTTCTGCGATGTAGTCACCCAGCGCAGTGTGGGCGGTACCGCACCTGCAGGAGTCTTGGGTTGTATGAGAGAGAGCGCCAGCAGAGTGTGAGCAAGCTAGCAGATAGCATTCCTCTGTGCTTTCTTTCAGTTCCTGCCTTGACTTCCCTCCATGACTGACCGGGAAGTATCAGCCAAACAAACCCCTTCCTCCTCACATTGCTTTCGGTGTTGTATGGTATACTAACAGAGCAACACGAAGCAAGCTAAAACACACAGTGAAAAGGTGACTATGAGCAAGTGTCCTCCAGAGTGGCTGTGTGTTATCTGTCGTCTCTAGTGCGCTTCTTTGCTTGTGTTTTGAGACAGGGTTTCTCTGTGTAGCGCTGGCTGTCTTGGAACTCACTCTGGCCTTGAACTCAGAGATCCACCTGCCTCTACCTCTAGAGTGCTGGGATTAAGGTGTGTGCCAACACTGCCCTGCTCTTCTTTTTCTTTTTCTTTCTTTCTTTTTCCTTTTTTACATTTTTTATTCATGGTATTTTTATTGACTATTTGGGAATTTTACATAATGCACGCCTATCACCCTTACTTCCCAGTCCTCCCAGGTCGTCCCCCCCCCCTTTGTGAACCTATCCTACCCCCAAAAGATTTTCTTTAAAGTTCCATTTGTGTTGTTCATACACTCCATGGAGCATGGTCGTGCTCCCAGTGGCACCTGTGCTCCTGCTGACTTTAAAAGACAAGGAAGCATCTGGTATTGATGACTGCAGACTTGAAGTTGAAAAAGAGAGACCTAGAAAGCTCTGTGACAATCTCCACCCCTAGGAAAAAAAGTATCAACCTAGACAGGAAGCCTAAAGAATTCTGATAAGGATGCCGACGTGTAGCTCTCCACGATGGCTACTGGTGGGGTGGAAGGTGAGCTATGACTCACTTTTCTTTATTGGACTATTTATTTATTTGTTTATTTTTGGTTTTTCTAGACAGGGTTTCTCTATGTAACAGTCCAAGGTGTCCTGGAACTAGCTCTTGTAGACCAGGCTGGCCTCGAACTCACAGAGATCCTCCTGCCTCTGCTCCTGAGTGCTGGGATTGTACTTCTTACTGAGCCTCCAAGTACTTCCTATTAACTCTAGTCCTGAGTTAGGTTAGAGATCTAGATTGATTCATCCTATACCACTGCAAATCAGCACCCTTTGGCCCGTGGCCTCACTTCCTTTCCCTCCTTGTCTCTGGGAACTGCTCTTTTCCAGTTACTGTTTCTATATATTTTACTTTTCCTTAAGATTCCACACATGGTGTGGGGCATGTGGTTTATCTGGTACAGTGTTACCTAGCATGCATGAAGCTCTAGGTCCCAACCTACAGACATTGGAATAAGGAATTCAAGGTTATCCTGGCCTACGTGGAGTTGGAGGCTAGCTTGGGCTACAGGAGACCTTCTCTCAATAAACAAACAAACTGAAGCAAAACAAAACGCAACAAAGTGAAGTCCTATTTTCAAAACTCACTCTTTTACGGCCGAAGGGGACTCAATCTGTCATTGATTGACCCCAGACCTGGCGACAGAGACAAGGAAAGGCTGTTGTCAAGAGGGACAGGGACTAAATAGGATCTACCTTTTCAGATGGTAGTGCTTGATTAGGGCGAGCTCTCCACCCCCACCCCAATCTAGCAATGTCTGTACACATTTTGCCTATGGGGTGGGGGTTCTCAAAGCACGGGTCCGCCTACTCTTTTTTGTTCCAACCCTCATTTTCGACTCGGAGTTAGAAGATGACATTTCTAACTCCGCGGGGCTGAATGAAACTGCCTCTAAGAACACCTCCAACCTTTTAAGCATCGGGCTCTACTCAACGTGCATGCTCCGGCTCAGTCCTTAAGTTTAGGAAAGCGGCTTTCCTCTTTCCTAAAGGATGTGATCCAGGAACCGGGTGTCTGGGGCAGGTGCCTTTCCCACAGGTCTGCATTCTCAACTGCTGGAGAGTTCCGCCTCTAGGGGGAGAGAATGGCTGTGTTACAGTGACACACCACAATCTCTTTAGGGTCCCTGGGCAGGATGGCAAGCCAGCAGGCACACTGAGCAAGACACCAGTAGGCTTGGGCAGGTCTCAAAAGGGATCTCATTAGTCTGGCCCTGCTTGGAGAGCATTTGTTCCTCTAGCGCAAGCCATGGTCAAACTACAAAGCAGGACGTCTCAAACACCAGAGCCACTAGGGACCGGTTTGGTGACTCTTAAGTCTGTCTCTCTCTCCAAGGCCAGGCGCTCCCTCCAGCTTTCCAGCTTCAGATCTATTCGGCTAGCTGGTCCCAAGAAACCTCAAAGTTCGGCCTGGAGGCTTGTTGCAAGGGTGAAGAGGGAGGTGCGGCTGTTCGGTTTCCTGCCACAATCTCTGGGTTGAGTCAGGCCGGCGGCTGGGCTGGTCCTGCTGCAGGCACGCTGAGCAGAAAAGGGCTGTGGTTAATGATTGACCTGTGGGAGACCTCTCGGCTTCCCTCTTGGAAGGCGATCGGGAGGCCCGTGCCAGGGACTAGAAGGCAAAGTACTGCGGGTCTCACTCTGAGTTGGGTGCGGAGGTCAGAGCCTCCTTCCCTGACTCGTCCCTCTTCACTTCAGAGAGCTATTTCCAAACCCCGCCACCACTCACTGACGCCGCCAGGGATCCTGGGGTGAATTATTCCAGGAAGTTTCAATGAGAAAGCCGAAAAACTAAGTCACTCCTGGCCAGCCAAGCCCAGTGACGGAAAGTGCTGCGCCCACGCTGGTGAGTTGCGGGATTTCTCTGGGAAGAGTAAGGAAAGTAGAGACCTTTGGGGACCTGGTAGCCTGGCTCTCTCTTCCGCATGGCTTCATCCAGTGACTCTAGCAATGTCTGCTCCAATGTCATCGACCACAACCACGTCCGCGAATTTGAGGTGGCCCCTTGGATCAAAATCACCCTCATCTTGGTGTACCTGGTCATCTTCGTGGTGGGCATCTTGGGCAACAGCGTCACCATCAGGGTCACGCAGGTATTACAGAAGAAAGGGTATTTGCAGAAGGAGGTGACAGATCACATGGTCAGTTTGGCTTGTTCAGATATTTTGGTCTTTTTGATTGGCATGCCCATGGAGTTCTACAGCATCATTTGGAACCCCCTGACCACACCCAGCTACCCGCTGTCCTGTAAGCTCCACACGTTCCTCTTTGAGGCATGCAGCTACGCCACCTTGTTGCACGTGCTGACTCTCAGCTTTGAGCGCTACATCGCCATTTGTCACCCCTTCAGGTACAAGGCCGTGTCTGGACCTTGCCAGGTGAAACTGCTGATTGGCTTCGTATGGGTCACCTCCGCCCTGGTGGCGCTGCCCTTGCTCTTTGCCATGGGTATCGAGTACCCCCTGGTGTCTGTGCCCACCCACAGAGGACTCAATTGCAACTTCACTCGCACCCGCCACCACGAGCAACCTGAGACCTCCAATATGTCCATCTGCACAAACCTCTCCAGCCGCTGGACCGTCTTCCAGTCCAGCATCTTTGGGGCCTTCGCGGTTTACTTGGTGGTCCTGGTGTCTGTGGCTTTTATGTGTTGGAACATGATGAAAGTGCTTATGAGGAGCAAGCGGGGCACTCTGGCAGGGGCCGGGCCACAGCTGGAGCTGAGGAAGTCAGAGAGCGAGGAAAGCCGGACAGCGAGAAGACAGACCATCATATTCCTGAGTGAGTCCGGGTCGCTGGGGTTCCTGGGACTTCTGGCTTGAGAAGTGAAAACCTGAGTTCACTGAGGCTCAAGAGGGGTAGCTGCATAAGGGCCTTGGTGCTCATCCGGTGTGTGGAGAGACGTCTCTTTGTGTTTAGGAAATCTGTGGTCTGCGATATTGGGAGGTCTGGTCCGTCATTTCTGTGACTTCAGGCTATAAACAGAGTATCTTGAATGAACATACTGGGAGGTAAGAGGAACAAATTAAGTCACCCAGGACAGGTGAGAGTCTTTGGAAAGGGGCGTGTTCTTCAGAGATAAAGAGAGTGACTCTTACCTTCTGCATCCTTTTACCAGAGAACCTTGATCAGGCAGGGGAATTTTGTCCCCATTTTTTTCTCCTCGGAGAGGCTGGCTTGTCAGGGACCCTGGCTCTCTGGATTGCTATCTCCGGCAGGAGTGGTCTGTGAGCCTTCAGAAGCCCGAGCTCTGCCGGGCTCACTCTGAGATGTGCATAAGCACTCCTTGCTTGGGACCATGGGTCTGTGCTTCCCTGGAAAAGGACCCGGCCTCACCATTTCTTAGTGCCCCCAATTCTGGTACAGAGAAAGCTGTTTACTTCTCAAATGTGGGGACGATATACGTTTTCCAAGTTGAGGACCTTCTCTGGACTGAAGGGGAGTCTTTCTAGGAAGCTAGCGCTATAGAAGACCCCCCGTGTCTTCAGGAGGGAGTCTATAGTTGCTAGCCATGTGGCTGTGACTGATGGCCGAGGGCTTGCCTACTGTGTGGCAAGCCCTGAGAACCATTTCCAGCATTAGTAAACGTGGTGTGACGTACCATTCTTATAATCCTAGCATTGGGAGGTGGAAACAGGAGGATTAGAACATCATCTTTGACTACATAGTGAGTCTGAGGCTACCCCGGGCTCCATGAGACCCTGAAACAAAACCAAAGCAAAAAAAAAAAAAAAAAAAGGATCCAGATTAAGGGCTGGAGAGATGATCATTACTTAAGAGAATCTGTTGTTCTTCCAGAGGACCCTAGTCAGATTTTCAGCACCCTTTTCGAGCATCTCATAACCACCTATAACTACAGCTCCAGCAAAGCTGATGGCCTCTTCTGGGTGACCTTTGCCTAATATTCACAAACACTCACATTGACATACACACATATGTGAATAATAACAAAAACTTAAAAGACTTAAACAAAACAAAAAACAGAAGAAGGGTTTTATAGCTGTCCCCTGGGAGCCTGTTGTATGTGTGTCGCCAAAGGGTTAAAAAATATTTTCCAGCAGCAACAAGAAAAAGGTGACATCATAGGTATGTGAGTGGGAGTCAGGTCAAGGGAGAGATGAGATTCTGAACATTTTTCTCCTCTTCTTCCCTTTCCAGTGTGCTGTCCTAAATGAAATCAATCCTGACGTTGTTTGTTTGTGTAACAGAAACTTGAGTTGCGTGCCCCAGGGCTGCAGTTCAGGCAGGGGTGAAGCTGGGAGGCATTTGGGAACGCATCAGCCCTGCCTTTTGGCTGAGGGTGGGTCAGTTGCTGACTTGACTTTAATCTAAGTCTGTAGAAACTGATAAGACACAGGCTTGCACCATTTGGGTGGCCATCTAGCATCAGGGCTGTGTTGCTGGCATGGAAGGGGTTCTCAGGACACCAGCTGGGAGTCCTGGATTCTTGTACTCTCAAAAAAGCAATTGGACCAAGAACATTTAGACTGTAGCATAAACACAGACA